GGGGTTGTTGTTTTGTTGTTGTTGTTTTTTGTTGTTTTGTTTTGTCTGTTTGTTTGTTGTTGTTTTTTGTTTGAGTTTTGTGTGTGTGTTTTGTGGGTTTTTTTGTGTTTTTTATTTTTGTTTTTTGTTTTTTTAAGTGGGGAAGCATATTAACATGGTAACGACTAATTAGTGTGAGTGTGAGGGAGGGCACAAAGAGAACGTAATAAATAGCTAAAACCGTTGGATGTAATCTCTCTTCTGGCATGTTTGGCCTGGATGTGGCCTTTAAATTGTGAGGTGTGCTAACAGAACGAGTTACTTCTGGAATTTTAGCCCTGTGACACAGATGCGTCAAACTTATAGTTCATCGACTTTGTAGCCTACAATTTATTAATGTGATTTTTTTATTATTATTATGTTAAACTTGAAAAAATGGCATCAGTTGAAAATCGTACAAATCTGACGGCCTCTGTTTCGATTTTCGGCCCATATCTGTATTTCGTGGATTGCGAGAAGTAACTCACTTTGTCAGCACACCTTACGTTGATCATTATATACATGTAAAGTAAAATCGCAACTCGACGAGAAAGTTACATTTATCAAGTTGAATCCGAACTTTCAGTGCAGCATAAGTTTGTGGATTTCAAAATCCTTTGATCGAAACGTAGGCCTAATGTTATGATAATATTATTTTCTGCACTCCCTGGGTAGTTGTTGTTTTTTTTTTAAGTAGGTGTGTTTTCACCCCCATTGATACGATTTAGATCATCTAGGAGACGGGCTTCCTATTCTGCCTGTCTGAACCAACCCGGGCTGAGAGGAGGGACGCATCTCAGCAGTAAGACACGGTAAAAAATGTTCTCCCCACTCTGGGGAACAAATTCAGGTCTCTTGCGGGCGACAGCGAAGCCCCTAACCGCTACGGCACAGACGCCGGATTAGTAGTTTTGGCGGCACAGAAAAGTTGTGTGCAATTAATTTGGATATAACAAACTAAACTAATTCCACTAGACATTTGTTGTTTGCTTGCTTGGATGCTTACTTACTTGTCAGTTTGTTTCTTTGATTGATTGTTTGATTGATTGACTGACTGATTGATTGATCGATTGATTGATTGATTTGATTGATTGATTGATTGTTTGTTTCGATTTGTTTCGTTTTTTGTTGTTTATCGCATATTATACTAAATTCTTTACTGTTTGAATGCAATGACCTGATGAACTTTCTTTCTCTCTTCCACAGTGGCTTGGAAATTCCTTACATCCAGTACACACCAACTGAAGTGGAAACGTGGTAAGAAGAAGATGGCATGTGTTCGATACCTAAGAATTATTAAGTTCAATCTGACATTATGGCCGTTTTGAGTTACTAAGACCATGAGGTCAGAAACCAAACATTCTATATCCTCTATTTCAGAATCGTAAGATTATTCGGAGTCGTTGTCAAGGTATTCGAAGAATTGCATTCGAATAGCTTAACCATTCTTAATGTCAAACTTCTCAATACTAGTTACTTAACTGAACAGATATAACTGTAATTCTAGGGTTGCCTGTTGTCTCCATAGACGGGTACTCCTATTTGTTGTTGCTGTTGTTGTTGTTGTTGCTGTTGTTGTTGTTGTTGTTGTTGTTATTGCTGTCGTTGTTGTTGTTGCTGTTTTGCGGGGTAAGGGGTGTTGAAGATCTGTTACTTGAAACTTAAAGTTAAAGCTGCGTTCATTATTTGTCTTAAAAGAATACTAGCTGGGCCCCCGTTCGATGAACGGATTGAGACAGAAGCATGTTGATTGTTCCAAGAAGCAAGAAAAAGAATTTGACAAAGGAGTCCAGAAAAAGCGATGATGGGCATCAAACGAAAGGATCACAGTCGAATTTAGCACCAAGTAAAAAAAAGAAAACAAGAGGCTAGATCTACACGGGTAGCACACTTAAAATAGTGCCAAAGATAGTACATATAACAAGATGGGCCACTCAGCCAAAAAAGTGTCCGCGGAAGTTCGCTCTTTGCTTCAGATGGCGCTGCAGTCTGTTTTGAAGCTCTCTTTCGTTTTTCCAGAAGAAGAATAGGAATAGCACCTCCTTGCGTGCGCAGATCGACTGCTGTTCATCAGCAGTTCGGGTTCGTTCAGTGCGGAGTTTTAGGGCTTTTTATTTTAATGACCTTTCGTCTTTCATTCTAAAGTCAAATTAAACGAAGAAAACAATCATCTTTTCCTCCGGAAGAGGTTTTTTGCCATCGTAACCATTTTTTTAAAGCGTTCTTCCGAAATTTATTCAAAAACTTGCTAGTTTCATTTTGATTTTTAAAACTCAAGTAGGGTAACTCTGTTCGCAAAGGGTGCGCATTTGCGAAGAGGGCGCCACCGAATTTTGAGGACACTTTTTTAATTGGCTCAAAGAGAGGAGTGGCCCCTCTTGTTATGTAGACTCTTAGAGAGTGCATTGCACGACAATGCGCGATAGTATCGAACGGAAGTACGACTTGAAATAAACAAACCTGGCGGATTTTCTAAAATTACAGAGACAGAAGCGTCGGCCTACAAAAGTGATCGGCGAAATTTAAACAAATTTAGCTTTTTGCAGCAAAACTGTCTCAAAACTGAAAAGACGAAGGGCGCCATGATCTGGAGAATATTTTAAAGAATCTTTTGGCGAAAACTGCATGTCGATCTATGAAGCCATTGAAGAGCCTTTTGAATAGCAAAATTCGGCCACCACAAATAGATAATAGAAAATATCACGCAGAAGGCTACTAGATTCTAGCCGTGTTTTTCCCTTTACAGTAAAGAATTATTTCTTTTCAAATGTCGTCATTCGACTGTGATCTAACAATTTGACTTCGTCAGATGGAATAATTGTGTATTCATTGACTAGGTAGCATGAAGTATCGTTTCGACGCATTGCCATTGATTTCCTTACAATTTCGTACATCTACAATCTTGTTCCTCTTTTTTACCTACATTCTTTTTATCTAGTCGTACATTCTTATTCAGTTACATTCTCTTTCATCTCCATTCATGTTAATCTACATTCTCGTTCTCTCCGCCCATGTTAATTTTGTTTATCTACATTCTCGTTCATCTTTTTGTTCATCTCAAAATTACATATAAAACGGCAAACCCACCACTCCACAGGGGTACGGTATTCCGAGAGCTGATGAAACTCTACCCAACACACGCATGTCGCGAGTATCTGGCCAACATTCCCCTACTGGTAGAGCACTGTGGCTACAGGTTGGTATGCCGGTTAAGAAATTGTTTATATAGACGGGTAGAAAGAAAGAAGTTTAATATTCTGTTTTTCTGTACTTCTGTTTGGTACTATAACACAGTGAATTGTTGTTTGTTTCTGTTTTCTTTTTCTTAGAAAAAAAAAACTACTGTGGTTAGAGGTTGGTATATTTGTCGATAGTTTACTCTGTTGCAACCACGTAATACATTATCCATAAGCTGTGTTCAATTGCTACCAAAACTAACACGACTTACTGGATGATTGGTCCCACACTCAGAGCATTGCGTCTCTCTTTTTGACTGCTTTTTGGCGTTTGAGGCCTGTGTGTCATCGATTGGCTACTTCGTTTTCATTTCTAAGCATGTGTTTTCGTTGGGGTCTCAAACAGTCTGAGCGTCCTTAAAAGGTATATAGGGGGGGGGAGGGGTGGCGGACAACGACGGTCTTTGTGGTCTTTTCAAAATGTCATATTATTATACGTGTCCTCTCGCAGTATTTTTTAAAAAGAATGTGGACCTACTTGAAGACATTCTTTTCGGTGGGGTGGGGGTGGGGGCGGGAGTGGAGAAGCACATCGACATGGTAACGACCAATTAGTGTGGGTGTTAGGGAGGCCACAAACAGAAATAAACGGGGGGAGGGGGTATCTTTTGTACGTTACCATTTGTTCTCAAAGTTTTCAGCATCACAACACTTCATTATAACTCCACTTCTGTTTAACCTATTTAGCCTACATAAAAACAAACACCAAACAATAAATTAATTATCCGAGCAATAACATTCGGTTTGATTATTGATAATAAAGACTGACTACGATAAGATCTAAGCCTTCTTAGATCTAATAAAAGCCTAAGAATAGATAGATGCTATGATAGGCCTGTGACCGAGCGAGCGGTGCTGAAAAT